TAAAAATATTTCTCAATAGAGGATTTTAAATTTTCTTTATGTACAAAGTTTTGACTAACAATTTGTTATTCAACATTAAATGTCCTTCAATTACTATTAAAAGTAAAAGTAAAGTATTATAAATTCTGATAGAATTCCTTCTTTTGCATGTAAAAGACTGAAAAACCAATCTCAAAAACAGTTAAGACCTTAATCTCACTTAAAGCAAATGAAAAATGTGTCATCCATACTATGCAACAAACACTTAGCAACTTTTCTCAGCAAACGACAGTACCTTCTCATTTTTAACAAGCTGCTTTCGGATTGCAGAATCCCGTCTGAAGCATAATGCTTTACAGCATGGGCCAAGATCACTAAGAAGACTCGCTCTTTCCTCTTTTCGTAGTAATGCAGCCATGTTGAGAGCTCCCAATTCATGTTCAAAAAGACTGTCTGCATCTTTCAATAAAAAACAAGCACGCATTAATTTTTTGTAAAATAGAAGTGTTAACCTATTGCTTACATGAATATTCCTCAAAGAATACTTTATCAAAGTTACCAGTCTTGGTGGAAATTAAAGTCAATATACTCTCTGCAAGGGAACTTCAACAGGTAGTCTTGCTGCTAGTCTCAAAAAGAAATACTCTGATAACCCTTGAAGACAGACACTGACTGCTAACTGGGAAGAAAAGCTCAAGCTAAGAATTAAGTCAAATTCAGTACACTGCTTACCATTCACTACTAAATTCTAGATTCAGAATTTTATTATAGCAAGATTCAAATGGGACTATATTCTGTGACCTCTAAAGAACTCAGGAAAGTGATTAGGTATTAATTACCTAATCTGCAAATTTTATCCAGTATTTGGTCACTGTAAAAACCTGGGACAATGTATGAAATTAAAATCCAGTTAAGTTACAACATGCAAGGTAGGGAGAAAACACTTACAACTTCATGAAAATAGAATTAAGGAAACATCTGATTAAAAATAGACAAAAAGGAAGTCACAATAACAGAACAGGGCCAAATAACAGAACGAGTAGTAACTTCAAAGCTAACATTTTAAGAGCTGGTCCAGTACCAGTGGTACCAGGGTCCTGTTCCTGTATTAAGCAGATTGTTACTCCTTTCCTTTGTGAGCTCTAGTAACTAACACCGAGGTAGAAGCAAAACAGACACATCTGACTGAGAATTAGTGGCATTACACTACATATTTCATTTTCATTTCCTAAACTTGCAAAGCATAAATAATGAGGTTAGACAAGTTTCTTGTCAATTGTCTCATGTAATAGATACCTAGTGAATAGGTTTATAACATAAAAGCATAAATGTAAATAAAAACTCAAAAATAGTAAACTCATGTCTAACAGAATCATCTGAGGAGCTTTTTAAAATACAGTACAGCAGGGCTCTCGCACCAGAGCCACAGACTTCCCGCAGCTGGAACCAGTACACCTGAGGGGGGAGAAGGCTGTTCCTCAGGTGATTCACACATAACGGCGTTCGAGCCAACCAATGACACAGTCATATAATGCACACTATTAAAACGGAAAACAATCCCCAACATTACCAGTTTACTACAGATACAAATAAATCTGCATTGAGTCCATGTACTTCCTCGAAAATTGCTCGGCAGGACAAATTTTTTTATTTAAATCCTTATCTGCTGCCTTCACAACAGTAGAATATGAAACACACACTTGGCAAACCTCCCTATAAAGCGTAACATGGCTAAACCTACAGTCTCTCTATGGTTTTGAACTGACCAGTACTAAGTTACTCAACAGACAGGTTAAACACATATGTCAGTACAAGTAAACCAACGGGACTCAAGGAACTGGGAAAGTTTAGCTCAAAAGGACTTAATCATACTACACTCATGAAAACCCAGACAAAAGCACTTAAAATTTCAGTACACAGGCAACTTTTCTGTTTTTAAACCTTAGAATTAAAAAACTACATATGGAGTGGGGATATACTTCAGCACTGTGGCACAGTAACGGACCAACTGGATTAGAAAAAAAATTACCAGTTATTTCACAAATATTTATTGAATGCCTACTATGTGTCAGGTACTGTTCTAGGCAGAAGCATAATTAGTAAGAATAGATTGTTTTGTTACTGCTGTATCCAATGTCTAAACAAAAAAGGTCTTATTCTTTAGGGAACTTATATTCAATATCATATATTCATTCTGTAACGAAACTATCATAGCACCAAAACACAGGACTACTTGATAAGGAACAATCAAATCCCTCCTTACAGTGTTTATTTTCATTTAGATTAAAGTGATCATTAGTTAGGGACACACTATAGTCTGATTCTGCTAACTATGCAATAGATTTTAACTTGAAATGCCATTAGCAAAAGCCAGAGGAGCAAATAGCTTTAGGGGTAGATAAGATCTTACGGGTTTCATTACATCATTTTATGCCCACAGGAGTTAAGATCACAGGCAAACAAGGTAAAAAGAGTGGGACAAGAACTCAAGACATTGGTCATTTGTCAGGCTAACACACATTCACTATTATACTTTAAGTTTCTTACACGTACATTCTATGTATATTGGGCCATCTTAAGATCAAGAGTCTTAATGCTTATGCTAACAGTTAAAGTAAGAACATGAATTTATGAAACAAAATTTCTTTCAATTTTTTTCAACTTTATATTAGTAAAAAGTCAATTCATTTAACTAACTTTTTTATTCCCATGACATAATATGAAATAATCTTACTGCTTTCACCTTTTACCTCCTTTCCTTCTTTTTACTTTCCTCCTCTCCATTAATAAAGCATTAATAGGCTTCCAAAACAGAAAAAAACAATCTATAAATTAAATAAAGTGTTCTGGAATAATGAAAAGCCATAGCAGTGAGGTCTAAAACCCATGTGATAAAATATTTTCAAACTAAATAGTAGCAGTTAATATTTAATGAGCATCACTATATGTCAGAAAGTGAAGTGTTTCACTTGTAATAACTCATTTGCTTCTTTTAACAATCATATGAATTTAGTGATGCTATGATTCTTAGCTTGTAGGTGATGATAGTATCACGCAGATTAAATAGCTAGTGGTATGCCTACTGGAATCCAGGCCATCTGGCCCAGAGACTAAGCTCTTAAGTACTTTGTTAAAGGCTCAACCTAAACACCTGCACTTGAGTAGAATCCCCCAGTTCCCAGGGGAAAGGGTTGCCAAGATACCCAATTTGCTTAGATATGAAAAATACCTAGTTCACTTTCCCAAGCTCTGCTTCATTTAGCCCTGGCTAAACTACTGAGCATTCTGACATCAGACCTAACCTGTTAGAAAGTAATTCTGATACAGAAAGATCATTCTGCTGTTTTTACAACTTTCCTGCAGGCTTAAATTTTTCTCAAATTAAACTTTGACCATGAGAATTAAATAATGAATATAAGCGATTCCTCAAAAACACACAGAATTTTTAAAAAGTTCCTATAGTACAACTGCTATGTGAGGACAGAATAGAATCCTTTTCAAAATCCTTAATAGTTACGTGAGACATTGTACAGTTAAAGTGGGACAGAATTACCTTTGGGTTTTTCCAAAAGTCTCTGACACGTTTCTCTGACTTTGGTGAAGAGTTCGGAGCCAGCCAGCTTTTTAGAAACCCCAACTCTCAGCATAACAGCTCCAGGCGTGAATTTCAGGAGTGCAGCCCCAGGCTCTCGCGGTTCCTTCGGATGCTTTGGCATAAGACCGGACCAATCCACATCTATCACATCCAACGGATCTATAAAAAGTTAAAGAACAGAGTTTTATTACACCAAGAAATACCATTCTTGTTATCTATGGACAAATATATAGATTGCAAGACACCAAAAGCGTTAAGTAACAAGTAATTTAAATTAAAAAAGCATATTCTTAAAAGCTTTTCTATGAAAACTAATATTTAAAAACCTCACCAAAAGAAAATAGACAAAGAGGTGGCAGGTAAGCCGTGCCCCTGCCACTCCCTACTCCCCACCATACTGCTGCTGTTTTCCCGACCACCTGCGAGCTCCCATGGCCAGTGGCCGTGTGCAGCCCACGACAGGGGATGCCCCTTGAAACTGGGCTCCAGTTGCCAGGGGTGATTGTGTTTCTGGGCCCAATGGGTCTAAAACAATCAGAGATAGGCAAGAGGCAAGCAAGAACTTGGGCACGGTTAAACAGTAAGTTACATCATCTACAGTCTCTTCAAGACTGAGAGCAATACCTGTTTCGCCTAACACATAGAAACAAACAAAAAAGTCAAGCAAAATGAAGAAACAGGAATATGTTCTTAATAAAAGAATAACACAAAGATCTTCCTCCCCTCCAAAAAGCTTAATGAAATGGAGATAATTTATCTGATAAAGAATTCAAAGTAATGGTCTTAAAGATGCTCACCAAACTCAGAAGATGAATAAATAGAGAAAGAACTTCAACAAAGAGGTAGAAAATATATAAAAGTACCAAACAGAAGCCACAGAGCTAAGGAATACAATAATTGATCTGAAAAATACAACAGAGGAATTCAATAGCAGACTAGATAAAGCAAAAGAGAAGAATCAGTGATCAGAAAGATAGGGCAGTAGAACTTACCCACAAAGAGCAGCAAAAAGAAATAAGAATTTAAAAAACTGAAGACAGCCTATAGGACCATGGGGCATCATCAAGCAAAATAACATGCACATTACAGGGGTCCAAGAGGAGAAAGAAGGAGAAAGGGACAGAAAAATTATCTGAAGAAATAATGGCTGAAAACTTCCCTAACCTGGGGAAGCAAGGAGACATTCAGACCCAGACTGTTCAAAATAAGATGAATCCAAAAAGACCAATAACAAGGCACAATATAATAAAAATGTAAAGAATAAGAGAATCTTAAAAGCAGCATGAGAAAAACAACTTACTATATGCAAGGGAATCCCCAATAAGACTAATTTCTCGTGGAAATTTACAAGCCAGAAAGGAGTGGCATGATATATTCAAAGTGCTGAAAAGAAAAAACCACTAACCAAGAATACTCTACCCAGCAAGGTTATCACTGAGAATTGAAGGAGAGATAAAGGGTTCTCCAGACAAGCAAAAGCTAAAGGAGTTCATCACCACAAAACTGGCTCTGCAAGACTTGTTAAAGGGACATCTTTAAGCTGAAAAGAAAGAGGAACAATTAGTAACAAGAAAACATATGAACTTAAAAATCTCACTGGTAAAGGTGAATATACAGTAAAAGTAGATTAATCACTTATAAAGCTAATACAAAGGTTAAAAGACGTAAGTAGAATAACTATAACTACAATAATTAATTGAAGGATACACAAAATAAAAAGATGCAAAATGTGACATCAGAACATAAAATGTGTGTGTAAGGGGAAAGTAAAAAGGCAGAGTTTTAGACTATGTTCAAACTTAACCTGTTATCAATGTAAACAGATACAGGATGCTCTATATGAGCATCATGGTAACCATAAAGCAAAAACCTAAACAGATACACAAAAGATAATGAGAGAAGAATCCAAGCATAATACTATAGAAGTCATCAAACCACAAGGGAAGAAAGCAAGAGAAGAAACACAGAGCAACCACAAACCAGCCAGAAAACAATTAACAAAATGGCAATAGTAACTCCATACCTATCAATAATTACTGTAAATGTAAATGAGCTAAATTCACCAAAGACAGAGTGGCTGAATGGATACACTAATAAGACCCAATTATATGCTGCTTACAAGAGACTTACCTCAGACGGAAAGACATACATACATAGAAAGTGAAGCAATGAAAAAAGACATTTCACACAAACAGAAACCAAAAAAAAAAAAAAAAGCTAGGGTAGCTATACTTACACTTGTATCACACAAAATAGACTTAAAGAATGTTATAGAACACAAAGATAGGCATTACATAAAGGGGTCAATCCAACAAGAAATAATATTTGTAAATTTGCACCCAACATAGGAGCACCTAAATATATAAAGCAAATATTAACAAACTAAAGTGAGAAATTGACAATAGTACAGTAATAGTAGGGGACTATAATACCCAACTCAAATCAATGGCTAGATCATCCAGAGAGAAAATCAACAAGCCTTGAATGACACATAACACCAGATAGACTTAAAAGATATCTGTCTATCCACATAACATTCTATTCAAAAGGAGCAAAATACACATTCTTCTCAAGGGCCCAAGGAACATTCTCCAATACAGATCATATGCTAGGCTATGAAACAAGTCCCAGTAAATTTAAGACTGAAATCACTAAGCATCTTATCTGACTGCAGTGGTATGAAATTAGCAATCAATTACAAAAATAAAACTGGAAAAATCACAAATATGTGGAGATTAAACAACATGCTACAGAACAATCGATGAGTCAAAAGAGAAATCAACGGAGATATAAAAAAAAACCTTCTGATATTTATACTGCAGAAATACAAAGAATCGTAAGAGATTACTATGAATAACTATATACCAATAAAATGGAAAACTTAGAAGAAATGGACAAATTCCTAGAAATGTATAATCTCCCAAGACTGAAACAGGAAAAAAATCAAGAATATCAACAGACCAATTACCAGTAGTGAAACATAATCAGTAATAAAGACTCTGCAACTGAAGTCCAGGACCAGATAGCTTCACAGGTAAATTCTACCAAACATTTAGAGAAGAGTTAATGCCTATCATTCTCAAACTATTTGAAAAAATTGCAAAGGAAGGAATACCTCTCCAAATTCATTCTATGAGGCCAGGATCACACTGATACCAAAAACCAACAAAGATACCACAAAAAAACTATAGGCCATTATCACTGAACATAGATGCAGAAATCCTTAAGAAAATATTAGTAAACTGCATTCAACTATACACTAAAAGGATCAAACACTATGATCAAATGTATTTACTCTAGGGATGCAAGGACAGTTCAATAGCCACAAATCAATCAATGTGATATACTATGTCAACAAACTGAAGAATAAAATCATATGATCATCTCAATACCAGAAAAAGCTTTTGCCAAAATTCAATATCCATTTATAATGTGAAAACTCTACAGAAAGTCAGTATATAGGGGGCATATATCAACATAATTAGAGACCATATATGACAAATCCACAGCTAACATCACACTCAATGGTGAAAAACTGAGAGCATTTCCTCTTAAGATTAGGAACAGGACAAGGATGCCCACTCCTGCCACTTTTATTCAACACAGTATTGGAAGGTCTAACCACAGGAATCAGACAAGAAAAAGAAATAAAAGGCATCCAAATTGGAAAGGAAGAAATTTAACTATCATTACTTGTGGACAAAATGATTTTATATATATAGAAAATCCTAAAGACTCCACCAAAAACTATTAGAACCAATAAATGATTTCAGTAAAGTTGCAGGGTGTAAAATTAATATACAGAAATTGACTGTATTTCTATACACAAACAACAAACTATCAGAAAGAGAAATTAAGAAAACAGTCTCATTTACAATCACATCAAAAAGAATAAAATACCTAGAAATAAATTTAACCAAGGAAGTGAAAGATCTATACAATGAAAACTGTAAGACATTGACAAAAGAAACTGAAGAGGACTAATAAATGGAAAGATATTTCATGTTCATGAATTGGAACACTTCATATTAGGATCATGCTCCCTGATTCAAACTATACTACAAAGCTATAATAATCAAAGCAGTATAATACTGGCATAAAAACAGACACAAAATGACTATAACTCAATAAAAAACGTAAAAAAAAAAAAAAGAAAATGCTGGCATTCTTTAGAGACGTGAAGGGCAGAAAGCACAGTGGATTCAGGATTAGGGAATCCTGCCGTGGCATGCCTTCTGAAACACAGCTAAATGGGAAAACCACCAGTTGGATGGAAACAAAAAGAGGAAACTAAGGTGGACAAAAGTCACATTGGCTGTGTTATTTTGGGGTATCATTTAGGGCGTGCTATCTCGGGCAGCCAGGTGAACAGGGGCAGAAGCTAGTTGACACCTTGACCATATTTTATGAACCAAAAATCAGAACACATGATCTGACAGATAAAAATTTACTCGTGGGATAGAATATTTTAAACTAAAACTGGTAAGAGAACTCCAGAATGTGTGGTGACAAAAGAATAGAGCAACAAGACAAACTAAGTTGTATCTACTCAGCGAACTCCACAAAAAAGCTAACTGAAACTGGCTCACACACTCCAACTCTTGTATGTGTTTGTTTACACCTACAAAAAGTGAAAAAAAAAGAAAGTTAAGATGCTTATTGTAAGATTTCCTTAGTGGGGAGGGTATAGCTCAGTGGTAGAGTGCCCACTTGGCGTGCACAAGGTCCTGGGTTCAATCCCCAGCACCTCCATTAAAATGAATAAACCTAATGACCTCTCCCCACTAAAAAATAAATAAATAAAAATAATTTAAAAAAACAAAAACAAAACAGACACATAGATCAATGGAACAGAACAGAGAGCCCAGAAATAAATCCAAACATATATGGTCAATTAATTTATGATAAAGGAGCCAAGAATATACATTGAGGAAAGAAAGCACAGTCTCTTCAATAACTGGTCTTGGGAAAAGCAGATAGCCATATGCAAAATAATGAAACTGGACCATTATCTTATACCATACAAATTAACTCAAAATGGATTAAAGATTTGAATGCAAGACCTGAATCCACAAAACTCCTACAAGAAAAAAGAAGCATTAAGCTCTTTGATATCACTCCTGCTGATATTATTTTGGAACTGACTCCAAATACAACAGCAACCAAAGCAAAAATAAAGAAGTGGGACTACATCAAAAAAGCTTCTGCACAGCAAATGAAATCATTAGCAAAATAAAAAGGCAACATACTGAATGGGAGAAGATATCTGCAACTAAAATATCCATTAAGGGGTTAATATCTAAAATATATTAAGAACTCATACAGCTCAATACCGAAAAAAAAACAAGCAATCTCGTAAAAAATGGGCAGAGGATCTGAACAGACATTTTCCCAAAGAAGGTATATAGATGGCCAATAGGCATATGAAAAGAGGCTCAACATCACTAATCATCAGGAAAATACAAACTGAAACCACAATATTATCATCTCACACCTGTCAGAACAGCTATTATCAAAAAGACCAGAAATAGTAAGGATGACAAGGATGAGGAGAAAAGGATACTCTTGTGCACTGCTGATGGAAATGTGAATTGGTACAACCAGTATGGAAAACAATATGGAGGTTCCTTAAAAAACTAAAAATAGAACTACCATATGATTCAACAATTCCACTTCTGGGTATTTATCTAAGGAAAATACAAACACTAATTTGAAGAGACATATGCACCCGTCTGTTCACTGTAGCATTATTTACAATAGCCTAGTACAGAAACAACCTAAGTGTCCATCAACAGATGAATGGGTAAAGAAGGTACACACACACACCATGGAATGCTACTCAGCCATAAGAATGAAATCTTGCCATTTGAGGCACATGGATGGACCTCATTCCACTAACTGAAAGAAGTCAGAGAAAGGTAAGTATGATTTCACTCATATGTGGAATCTAAAAAAAAACAAAAGAATCAAACAAAACAAAAAGAAAACCAAACTCACAGATACAGAGAACAGACTGGTGGTTTCCAGAGGGGAAGGGATTTGAAGGTTAGATAAAATAGGTGAAGGGTATCAAGAAGTGCAAACTTCCATAAAGTAAAATAAACAAACTTCTATAAAGTAAATAAGTCATGGGGGTGTAAAGTACAACATGGTAACTATAGTCGATAACATTGTATTTCAACATTAAAAGTTCCTAGAGAGTAAAAGTGAGAAGTTCTCATCTCAAGAAAAAAAGTTTTGTGACTCTGCATGGTGGCAGATGGTAACTAGACTTAATGTGATCATTCTGCAATGTATACAAATGTTGAGTCATTACACTGCATACCTAAAATTAATATAATATATGTCAATTATACTTCAATAAAGATCCCCAAAACCAAAAAAACGGGCAAGCAAACAAAAGCCTAAGCAAACCCACTGCTACAAATAAACTGCTTGAGAGATCCTCAATGAAAGAACTCTATTATTTCACTAAGATTAGGTCTGACATTTTGTAACTTGGTACTAGAATTCTTTCAAGGTTTAAATCTAGGAATATATTTAGTTTGTATGTGTGCATGCATACACAAACACACACAGGCATACAAATAATTCATTATGAAATTACTTTAAAAAACATGCAGTGGCTATAATTAAAGCAGAACAAATGGCCTATCCATTGATAAGGAACAGTTTAGGAAATTAATAAAACAATATTCTATTTAGAAATACCCAATAGCTGATAATAATAAAAATAACACTCACATATGTTATACATTAGTAGAAAAATTATAGAATAGAAGAACAAATTTAAGTCAAAATAAAAATTTAATATTCTACATACCCAAAGAAAGCAAAGACCCTCACTATGATAAAAACAAAAAAAACCCAAAAGAACATTAAAGATTGTTGCTTCTTAGTGTAATCACTGGAGTACGTTCTGGCAATAAATAGAATACTGTAAGTCAAAATAATGACTGGATTTAGAAAATTGATAGAAAGAAGTATATAAACAGTGTTCAAATATAATTTCAACCTTTGTAAATTTCTGAATGGTGGTTTCAAAAGTTGGTTTGTGGCAGCACAGTTGTGAAGCTCTCTATCATACACCAATCATCTAGAACACTGCTAGACAAGCAGGGTTTGGTTAGATTCCAGGTCATATAAAATGAATCTTAAACTCTGGAAAGGAAATCTTACAATTTTAATATTTTAAATAATGCCCTTTCAAATCTACAGGCAATGTCTACTTAAAAATGAGCAGAGCATATTAATTTTCATTTTATTGGCCTTTCAAAGTTAATTAAAACATAAATGGGAAAATTCTAACTGAAAGGAAACACAGAATACCTCAATACCATAATTAAATAATCCTTATGTTCAGCTACCTCTACAAATGATTACCTGGCATCTTCTCTTCATCCTGTTGGTCCTCCCTCTTTTCAGCATCACCTGCCAGAATTTCATCTAGTTCATCATCACTGATTGGCTCATATCCTTCTCCAGCACCAGATCCTAACGAATGCACATCATCTAACTTGGATTCATCATCTCCTACTAAATAGAAAAATTAATTTCAGCTCAAAGAGAATGTTAAGGAAAAGGCACAGCTAAGTGAATCCAAAGAGGAGAGGCTGTGCACACTAAAAAAATTTGAAGTCACAATGAAAAGCATTTTTTATTTGAAAACTGTATTTCCTAATTATTCAAAACACTTGCTAATTACAAAAGAAAACCTGAAGATTAGTTTTAATGGCAAGAACACAATATGAACAGCAATATCAAACTAGGTTATAAGATTACAATTAAAATATGAGAAATAAAATCAACCACTAACATGTTAATGTTGATTATGTTGTATTAATTTTTTATAATAAATCTTCAAGTAAATCCAGAGAAATCTACTTATTTCAAAAGGATGCATCAATTTCTTTACTGAAATAAACTCATTAAAGAACTTGTAAGCGAATTAGTAAAATTTATTTGAAACTTTAAATCTTAGTTCATTAACACTTCATTCATGATATGAAGAACTCCATAATGAAGTAAAAATGTAGAAGTGCCATTTATTTCCCCCATCTCCCAATTTATCTTCCCTATTCCAATGTTTCCTTTTAATTAATGAATGGAAGTTTTAAAAGAATGTTGTCAAAAAAAAAAAAGTTGTCATACAATTTTAAAGTATTTCTGTTAGTAACCACTAGTGTACCTTCCATTTCTTACTTTACTGGTTTTTCTCAACTACCTCAGCTAAAGCTTTGTTTCCTTGTGAATTAGTTTTGAATCTGAACTATCATAAAACCACATACTACACTATTTCTAATCAGGTGTTATCCACACACTTTTCTGAGTTTGTAACACTAGTTTTCAAATTGCAACATATGCTCTATACATATAAATTGTAGCAAATAAAATACAATAAACTATGAGATATTTTAGTCATTCAAATAATTTTCTACTCTATTAAATTCTGTAATAATCTCATACCACCAATTCACCTCTAAGGTAAACAATTTTAATAACTTCATTATATAAATATACATCTAAACATAAATACAAATAATAGGATTTTTAATTTTTCAGCCTTATCAAACTAATTTTCCTACTTTTATGAATAAGATTTTTCACTTCACAATAGGTAAATTCACCTATAAATTTCTACGCTATGTTATCTGTGATCACAACCAATGAACGGTATGTTTTAGGGATGAAGGGCACAAACTCTAATCATGAGAGAATCATTATAATGATCAGTTCCATTATATTCAACTATACCCCAAGACTGTACTGCCATTAGTACTATGGCTCACAAATTGATGCTATTTAAATTCAAAATTGAGATTAAAATGAATATGAAATGTTTGGGTATAAAGTTTTTGTCAAGTAGAAAAAATATGTAACAATTGGCATACGGGAATATATCTAATCAAATAACCAAAAGATATAAAGATGCTTATAGTTTTAAAAGAATCTGAATTTTATTCTGGGACCAGAGCTATGATATAGCAAATGAAAATAATAATTAAATATTACTGCTTATGTACGTAAGTATCCCAGAAGTTTCTTGGGGGTTATGTCAGAACAACAGTGGTATCAGAATTCGACAGTTCATGGAGGCAGAATTTCCAAGAGAATTCTACGGGGCCATTCCTATTGTTAACCTGGGCTATAATTCACCAAAGAATAAGGTATGGTGCACGTACGGACAGGCAGAACATACCTCCTTCCATCAGCCATTACTGTGCCCCTGCTATAGTCTCCATGATAAAGAAATGAAAAGCTATGATGCCTAACAAAGAAGTACAGTACAGTGGGGAGAAAACCATGGGAGAATAATTACAATACAGTGCAAGGATGCTATTAAAGATGTATAAACAAGCTGCTATGGCAATCTGAGAGTAAGCACCTTTAGCAAAGAAGGCTCACAGAGGAAATAATAACGGCACTCGCAGTTGGAGTAGGAGAAGATAAAGGGAAAAGGTCTAGCAGGCAACGGGAAGACAGGGCACGGAGAAGGCTGGAGAACGTAGCCATTCAGAGAGCGCAGGGGCACGAGTCAGTCTGCAGAGCAGATCAGGGGTGAAGAGTGGAGAGCTGAGGCTGGCTCTGAGCGGGCAAAAGGGTTGATGGGGAATTCTCAGGATCCCCATTCTAGGAACAGGGAGTCGTTTAATAAGGGACCTGGCACCCTCAGGTTTTAGTATCTGTGGAGGGCTCTGGAATCCATTCCCCACAGACACTGAGGGACCGAGGGATGACTGTAATCTTTTATTCCACTTAGGCACATTTGAACCAAGTCTATCTTGATAGTACCAGTGAGGGGAGCACACTTCTAAAATATCACAGGGCTTTTCCTTATAAAAATCTAGTTTCCCTAAAAAACAATAGAGTCAATACACGTATCAGATGACCTTTCAAACAGAAATACTTCTCACCTCTGAAACCTGAAAAGGAACGGAGTAGTGTAACAGACAAAGAGCATGATACTCACCTTCCACACTCTCAGTTCTTTCAGCTTTATTGGTATCTTCAAATCCCTGCACAGATCCTAAATCTTTATCCATTCTCTCCTTGTCCAAAGTTACAGAGTCTCGGGAAGTGCCTTCTAGGTCTCTTTCATGTTCATTCTCCAGTTTTGCTTCACTGCGTTTTACAGACTCAATTTGAGAACTCTCAAAAGTTCGGTCTCTGTCCCTGTCCCTTTCCATGGAGTCAGAGATCAGTCTCTCTCTTTCCCTGTCCAAGTCTCTTCTTTTGTCTCGTTCTCTCTCGCGTTCCCGTAGTCGGTCTCGGTCCCTGTTCCGTGGCCAGTCTTTATCGGAATCTCGCTCCCACTCCCTCTGCCTTGCATCTCTCCTCTCTCTCTCCCGCTCTCTATCATGCTCATAACGTTCACGCTCCTGAAGCCTATCTCTGCTATCAAACGACCCTGACCTTGAATGGACCTGTCGATCTGACTCAGGAGAACTTCTTCTTGAACTATGGCTTCTTGAATCCTGGCGATCTAAAATAAATATACCATATTTATACTAAAGAGTTAACATGTGATAAAACAAATAAAATGCTTCATTTTAAGGTCCTTTAAAACTTACAATTTATCAATCCCTTTCTCAATTAAAGTGATAATTAAAACATGTAAAAAGCATGTTTCCTTGTTTATTTCCACTATAACCACAGAATATCTTCAAAGAAATAAGTACATAAAATGGTTAAGCAGTAACAGAAAATTGATCATTTCATTATCTGATCTCTTCCTGTCCCCCTACCTTATTTTCTGTGGTCAAAAGAGAAAGCATCAGTTGGAGGAAGAACAGCTGGAAGGTTAAAATTTCAGGCATCAACAGAGGACTTGAATACATAAATGTTTCCACCAAGCGTTCCGAGTGTTTCTACTAAAATCTTGATATTAAACTGATTGACATCAGGGTTTCTACTAAAATCAGCATTTCTGCTAAAATCCTAGTATTAAACTGACTGACATCATTGAATGCACTTTTACTATAACGTTGATATTAATGTAACACATAACACTTTGGTGGGATGGTTAAGCTTTTACTTTAAGTTCCTTGAAATTTAAGACAGTGTATAAAGTAACCAATTTAGCATTTACTTTAAAATTATAATTTATATAAAAGAGTAAACTATAAAATACACTAACACAGGAAACATTGGTTAGATTATAATTCATTTTATTACCTGAAGAAGTACTTCGACTGGGTTCTCCACGCTTTAGCTGGTCAATCCTAGACTTCCTCTCTCCTGTGATTTCCAGACTTTTCGTTTTTTCTCTGTCTCTTGAGCCACTATGCAGGACTCTCTTTCGACCACTTTGGTCATCTCCACTTCGATGTGCAGAATCATTGGATGGGGAGCGCAGGCGGCCGGATGTATGGCTACGATTACTCCGATTGCTGCCAAGGCTGCTACTCCTCTTTTGATCCACTGGCTTGCGATGTGGCGCATCGTCTATAGTAACATGAGGTGCCTCTACTTTTTCTACTCGTGTTCTGTGGCATTTCCTATGTGAATCTTCACTGGTTGGATTGGTGGTGTTGGTAGGGGTGGCAGAGCTGGAAATGGTGGTGGCAGAGGCGAAGCTGGTGGAAGCAATAGCAGCAGAAGTCAAAGCAGAAGCTGGAGGAGGAGGAGGAGGAAGCGAAGATGGAGAAGGAGTCCTTCCAGGAGTAGCAGTTGTGGCAGCATGCTCTGGTTCTGTCACCTCTGCACGGTCGGGCACGTCCTCATCAGACCAGTCACTGAATGCTGTGTCTTCCTTTTTCTGAAGATCCTCTAGAGTGCCATCCTTATCATTGGAAATTTCAACCAGTTCCTCTTTGGTTGTTATAGGGGGAGTCCGTGGGCCTCTTTTCTTCTTACTCTGCTGGACTGCTTCTTCATCAGAAATATCAGAATCCCCTCTGGATCTCTTACGCTTTTTTTCAACACTTTTCTTCTTTTGTCCTTTTTTTGGTGAAAATACTTGACCATCTTCAGATGCTGTCTCTGTGTTACCCCTCTCTATTCCAATATCATCCTCTTTCTTTTTCTTAATAGGTTTCTTTTGAATTTTTGCTTTTTTCTTGTTTTCATCGTGGGCTCGATCAGATGTATCTCGGTCTTCAGACAGGTGGTGTCCAATCATGTCTTGTGCACGAGATCTTGAGCTCTCTGGGACTTCTGCCTGGTCTCTCTGCTTATCTACAGAAGAAACTTTCTCTTTGAACTCCAGCTCTTCATAACGCCTTGAACTTTCTTTTCTTTCTGGTTTACGATCTTCCTCTTTCCATCTTCCCTGCCTGTCTTCTGTAAGGTGTGATGGACTAAGAGAACGAGATTCGTGAGGTCGAACAACCTGGCTCAAGAGTCTGTGTTTTTCACCTATCCGAAAAGATAAAAGTAATCACACTTTTACCATGTTAACATATTGCATGTTACATATAAATAATAATAAACCAGTCTCTCACTTTTCATTTTGAAACTTTAAAAATAACAGTAATTTCAGTAAAAATTAAAATATGGCTTTGCTACAAATAGCAGGAAATAGTGCCATTATGATAAAATGGCTGTATTTTCAATATACACTTTAGTCACAATGGAAAGTATTCAAAGGCAGTGGAGCAAGAAAAAATTTTAAACCTTAATTCATCATTTCCTACTGATCTCAAAGAATGGTGTCACGGCTACAAATGAGTATGACTATGGAAACAAAGAAAACAGATTCTGCTTACTTTTGTCATCTCCACTGTTGTAAGTGTCACTGTCAGGGGAATGTTCCCGCCGGCGCTTAGGTGACTGACGAGGGCTAGGACTCCCTTCATTTCTATAGCGCTTCCTAAATCAGACAAACGTAATTTATAAAATTCCAGGGGATGAAAAATAGATTTCTTTACTACATTTTTACTATTACTTCTTTACTTATAGTAACTAGAATATATAATTGTAGGATAGCAATACTGTCAACGCTATTTATATCATACAAAGGGTATTCAGCATCTTTAATAAAATTTTTCATTTGTTACGACTAACAGCTGTGGACTTAAAATACATGGCAATAGTTCTTTTTTTCATTATACATGTAGAAATACTCAACTGAGATTTGCCAGATTTAATTACTGCAAAGTGGTAACATACAGCCGAGGAATCAATGTACCCTATACCGAAACTCACTCATCAGTTTTACCTTTTTATGGTACAGAAATACCTTATGCTGGAAAGCCAAATGAGAAAACCTAGTACTGGCTCTGGAGTCAAAAAAAGACTTCAGCTCAACTTATAGTCATGTTACTTATTATGCAATCTTAGGTAAGTTCCTGGAAGTCACTGAACCTTACCTTTTTCATCTGAAAATAAGGGAAAAAATGAGAGTCCATCACATAAAACTGCAATGAGGAATAAACTAGTTATGCTATAAGCCCAGGGCCAGTTACACTGTGGGTACACTGTAAAAACTGGTTCCTTCTCACCTCTTAGAACTGAAACACGTGTTTGGTGACAAAATAATTCATACATTCACTTTATTTCTTGTTCTTGAGTTAAACTTTAAATGACTAATAATGTATCTCTCTGGGTAGTTAAGTTATTCTAGTGTTTTCTTATGTATTTTCATTAAACCTTGACCACTTTTTTTTTTAACTCACGTTGTTTGTTGATAAATACTATAGCCAAAAGCTGAGAAACACTGCAGCACAGGAGCACAAGAATTTCTTTGACCACTCTTTTATGCAGATGAGCAACCAGTGGAAAAGAAGGAGGCCCCAGGTGTAGTATGACAACTCACAGGTCCAAGCTTGTGCAATTCCTTATCCAAAGCTCCTGCCATCATTAGGCCATATGTTTCCCCACTCTCTGAATCTGGGTTGGCCCAGTGACTTGATAAAAGGATGTGGTGAAAGTGACACTGTCTAAGTCTAGAGATTTAGGACTCAAGAAGCCTTGCAGTTTCTGCTTTTGCCTTCTTGGTATGTTTCTACTATTATACGCAAAAGCAGAGTTTATACGACTGGAGGATGTGAAGTCAAGCGGAAGAGAAAATAAGAAGTCCTAAGCAACAGCCAGCACCAATTGCCAGACATGTGAGTGAGGCTATTTTGGGTCATTCAGAACTGCCAGTTGAACTGCCAGATTGACTGGAGGAGCAGAAGTGATGCCAAGTGAGACCAGGAGAAGACCCATTCTGCTGAGCCCAGCCAAAATGCTAACCCACAGAATCATGATCAAATAAATGGTGGTTGTTTGAAAATTTCTAACTTATTGTGCGGTTTGATACACAGCAAGAGATAACTGATAACACAAGAAAATTTAAAACATGCAAAGAAGAAAGTTAATTTCAAGGAAGTATCTACAGAAACAAAATTAGAGTAAAATAAATACTATGGCAATTCAGCAAACCTTCTACGTAACAGTGGTTAAAAACAAAAGTACTGTATACATCCAGCTACTAAGAATGACAATACAATTGATAAAAACATCAAGATATTAATCTCATATAATTAATTTCAAGCAACTGGTTATTTTTATAGAGCTGTTGACTCTAAGTTTCTGGGGCCCTTGTCAATGCTTGGAATGTCTAGCCATGAAAAAACCAAAAAAACTTTGGCTACGGTAAACTGAGATAAGATGCATAGAAAATATAAAAGCACAGGACTGAACAGTAAATAAATAACAAAGATTTAAGACTTCTAATCTTAGAAGACAGCTAAAGAGGTCACAGGAGGGAAGAGAAATAGTATGTATTGTGTGCCTATATGTGTTAAAGGTAATATCTGAATTTTATGTTAATGTAAGTTTTTTTTTTTTTAAACGTGGGGAGAGGGAAGCCAGACAGTGAACTACAGAAAACCTTTGCTTCAGACTGAAGGGAAGGCAAGACCTAATGAAAGAAGCCTCTACTTCTATGCTAGGTTGTTTGTCTATAACCATAATCCATAATAGAAACGATGAAAAAAGCCTAAAACAGAGAGCTGTATTCATCATGAGGCAAATGAGCTGGAGGTAGGGGCAAAGAAATTGAAGATACGTAAATTATTTCCAGTTTGTTTTAATAAACTTAACTATACACTTTATTCCAGTTGGTATTTAAAAAAAAAAACTTAATTCCAATAAGTTTGGGTTTGTGTCTGCAAAACCTCAAGATTGACCAGTCAGAGCCCAGAATTCTCATGGCTAAGGTGATTGGCTTTGCCCCCCTGTCTAATTTCTCAACTAACAAGAGTGCCAGCACAAGGAGGGATGTTGAGCTGATACGTTTAACTCTGGGGCCATCTTAGCCATCATTTGGAGAAAACCTTCCTGAGTCTAAAACTAATACAGAAGGAAATAATGGAGAGATAGCATTCTTGATGCTTTGTTTGAGAAGCTGGATACAGTTGCATCAGAACAAATAAAAACTAATCATGACTGCGACATTAAGCTGTACACCAGAAGTTGACACATTGTAACTGACTATACTTTAGTAAGACAAACAAACAAAAAACTAACCCTGGACTTAACAGATACCTGAACAAATATATTTTGGGGGGTATTTTAAAAAAGGGGAGGTGAGAGAGAAAAGAGAAGAGAAAACACCCTTATATATATCGGATAGTAAAAACACATCTTTTGATTCCAGTAACCTACTACAACTCTACCGCCCAAGAGATGCTTCCTCTCTCTCTCATCTTCTTCTGGCTAGGCAGTGGTTACAGGAATTTCCTCAGTTCTAAGACACTGTGAATGCTTCTGCAGCCTGGGGGTAGTCACCTCAGACTTCTAAGTACACAAAACTCATGAAGGATTATCAAGAATAGCAAGCACAAGCATTATCTCCTGGTGATAAGCCAACTCTATTAACTAGTTATAAAATGGATATGATGGGATATAAATCCAATGATTCCACCACTTTTAGGTTGGACTCTTGTTAAAAAGAAGTCTATAGTAGGCAAATGAACGAGTGTGCCATCAAAAATGACTGTAATCAAACAGTGAACAAGAATTATTAACTTTATCCCTTGGATACAGAAAGTAGAATGAGAAAACTATTATTTTTTTTTCCCTAGACAATTCAAAAGATTTTAAACACGTAAGACTGAAACACAGGAAACTACAGAGGAACAAGAATTAGCAGGCTATCAGGGGCACGCTGAGAAGCATTAAATGGAACTGTCTGAATTCCTCACTGAAATATCTGTAAAAACCTGGTTCAGCATCACTCTTACTTTGACTTCCTCTCCTCGTGTCCATCTCTTGGATTCCGGTCTTCTCGGATATCTTCCCGCTTTTCTCTGCGGTCATCTCGTCCCTTGTCTTTGTCTTCCCAGTCCCTCTGGCGCTCGCGTTCTTTATCCCTTTCTCTTGCCCTTTCTCGTTCCCGCTCTCGCTCCCGCTCCCGCTCTCGCTCCCGCTCCCTCTCTTCTCGCTCGCGATCCCGCTCTTTTTCCCTGTCTCGCTCCCTCTCTCTTTCCCTCTCTCGATCGTGGTCGCGATCTCTCTCCCTCTCCCGGTCTCTCTCTTTCTCTCTCTCCCGCTCTCTCTCCCGCTCCCTGGCGCGCTCTCTCTCCAGCTCTCTCTCCTTCTCTCTCTCCCGCTCGCGTTCCCTCTCTCGCTCTCGCTCCCGTTCCCGCTCCCGATCTCTCTCCCTCGCCCTTTCGTCTCTCCTGTCCTCCACTCTGTCTACTCTTCGTTCCTCTCTTCTTTCATCACGCTCAAGCTCGTCATTCCTCCCCTGATGTCGAATTGGTGAGCTTGGTCTTTGATCTACAATGAAAATCAAGTTTTGTCAGTGATTAATTCGATAGATAACCTATTGGTAAGACAGTATGGCAAATCTTAAATTTTATCTGTGTATAGGGTCACACTAGCAACAAATATAAATCAGGTACTGTATTTAGTCTTACTTTAATCATCCAAATAATCACCACTAGATGTTTAATAGTATTTTTTTCTTAAAGGTAATTTTGATTTGCCCTCTACTATGTTTTCTGCTTCCCATCAACCCCACCTCCCACCTCCCGCTGATCCACCTTTGATCTTTCTCTGCATGCTCCCTACCCTACCTCCAGCCCACTGCTCCAACCCCACTTTCTGCCATCTCTACCCTTCACCTCTGATCTTCTCTGTCCCCCCAGCAGGACCTGAGAACACTGGTGGCAAAGGATAGGGGCAGCAGGAGGTGTAGAACATAGGAGCTGAAGGAAAAAAAAAATTTCCCTCGTAAGTCACACCTCTAGTTTCAGGCCGAAATATATACACATCAAAGTGCAGCTACTATGTGAGGAATATATAGTAGAACAAAACATCTATTAATATTTGTTGCTGCAATATCAATGTATCATAAACGAGAATACTAAGGGTACTGATGATTAGCAATCTTGAAATAATCAAATGTAAAGTGTTTCCTATTAGTGGTATGTATTTATAATTAACAACTAATAAATTAAAATTATGTAATTATATATAACTGTTTTCTTAAAATGTTAAATGATAATCTCATCATATATATATATATATATATAATTTTTTTTTTTAATACATGAATCATATAAACAGAAACTGCATGCTGCCCAATATGCCCAGTTGAGCAAGAAATTAGCCTGGGATCAAAAAATGTCTAAGAAAATGGCATGAACTTTTCCACAGACATAGCCATTTCTAAAAGTAGCTCATAGTGCTAGGATCTAGGCTACTATGATCTTTTTATTTTCATACTACATAGTAATGTTTATTGGTTAGTCATAAAAGTCAGACTACAATATGGCCAACAGGTTTGTAAGTGGAATCTCTAACATTAACTTATTCAGCAGAATAATTTTAAGGATATTTCCAGGGAAGGATTCAATACAGCAATTTGAATTCCCTTTCTTATCACAGAAGAAAAAGACAATTATCCACATTTACTCTGTAGAGGTTATAGATCAAGATACAAAAGTTCATAGAATTTTAAAGCTAAAATAAAACTAAACCTTGCCAGCCCCCTGTCCCCTTTTCTTCTTAAAAACACAGAATTTATGGTCCAGAAGCTGACTTGTCAAAGTCACAGAGTTGGTAGACACATCGGGACATCAGGACTAGAAGTCAGTTCTTGTAAACTCTATTTCACTTTTGCTGAAACCAACCTAAGTTTAAAATGGTTCTATGGTACTATTCTTTGGATTCCTGGAATGCTATAAACTCATGTCTTACACTGTCTGAATTCCTGGCTTGGGGGTCATACTAATGTCATAACAATTACAAAACAACCTGAAGCAAATTCAATACTGCACCCATAGCAATTTATACTTGAAATTTCTGATTACAGCAATGTCCGGGAAGAGACTACTGAGGTACTCTTTTTTTTGTGTGTGACAAATAAAAACTCTACTTTCCCAATGTCAAGGTTGGGACTGGGTTCCTACTTTAAAGAAAATGGAAAGGCTACAAGAATACTACCTTAATACATCTAAAATATCTTCTCTTTCTTTCTCCTAAAATGTGTTCTTCAAAAATATGCTTCTTTTCATGTATTTCCTTGTTTTAATGAATGACATACCAATTCATGAAAGCTGGAAATCTGAGTTATCCAAGTCTCATCATATTCAAGTACCATCAATTTCACTCTCAAAGTATTTCATTATTCCATTTCTTCTCTCAATCCCTACTGTTAACATTATTAACTCAGACTTTGATGAGCTCTTCTTAAATGCCCAAATCAACAGTCTGACTGGTTGGTATCCTTGTCTTCAATCTTTACCCAGACTCTCTGTTTTTGTTTTTTTTGTTTTTTTTGTTTTGGAAACTCTATTTTTATCCAGCTGCTTAAAAAAAGCTCCTTAAAAGCAGTTATCTTATGGGAAGTGAAAAGGCAATTAAATCCAAAAATTTTAGCCTGACTTCTTAGGCCATTTACAACCTGGCCTTCAGTCTCTTGCCCATGCTTTTCCCTAGCTTCTTTCCTTCCCTACCAATTATAGCATACTCTATTCCAACCTGGTAAATCTTTACTACTCCAAAACATGTTTCTTTCAGTCCTGTGTGTCTGCACATGCTGCACCCTCTCCCTGCAAAGTGTTTCTTCCATGGTTCTTTCTAGCCAACCCCTATTTATCCTTCAGACCTTAATTCAGACATCTCTTCTCTAAGAAGCTTTTGTTGACTACCTCAGAATTCTGTTTGATCTTTATCTTCTCACAGAACTTTACCTATTAGTAGTATTTATACCTCAATTGCCTATTTGTACCCTAATTAGCCTGTAAAAACCAAAGGGAAGATTTAAATTCTTGAGTGCAAAAACAAGGCCCTAAGCACATCTCCACCTTCAGTCTCTATCTCCCTATGCTCAGCATACTCTAGTCACCCTGATCTTCTTTCAAACTCTAGGCTATTTCCCATCTCGTGGAATTGGCACATACTCTTTCTTCTGCATGGAATATTTTTACCCTCAATACTTGCAAATTTCTTCCCTTGCATTTATGCCTCTGCATATGTCATCTCAAATTTTCCACAAACACACTATCTAGATGAGGTAGGTCCTTTTCTTGTCCTTTATTTCTAGTTGGATCCCTTGTATGTTTACTTGATAGCACCCAATAACCATTTCTTTCTTGAGGGGGTATATCTCTCCCTTTATAAAATTCTACAAGCACAAGAACTGTCATTCTCCAAAAAAAACTTACAAAGTGCATGGGTACTCGATAAACATTTTTAGAATACATCATTATCAAAAATGTTTTTCTATTTCAATCATACAACTGATGTTTACTTAAGTAGTTATAGTAAAATAAAATAGAAAGAGAACAGGACTTGTAGTCAGAGGAACTGAGCTTGAATTTTAGCTTTAGAACTTAATTCTCTGTAATATTGGAAAAATCATTACTCTTCTCTTAGCCCAAATCTCTTAAAATATGAAACATGAATTCTTTTATCATACCTATACTTACAGGGATATTGAAAGATAAAAGGATTTAAAAAATATGTATCTTCTGACTTAATATTCTTTACAATATTAAGTCCAAGAATATAAAGCAACTATCAAAGTTCTTCTTAGTAACTCAGTACCTCGTTGAACTTAAGTAAAACTGAAACCAAATGTTACACTGAATTCAGGCATGAGATGAGAAAAACCTGAGCTAGGATATGAAACTAAGAAACTAAGGGGAAAAAAATAAATTAAAAAATGCATTACCAGGACAGTGTTAGATTAGAGAGAGTAAAGATTGGTGAATCAGGGTTAGGGAAGAATAATTTCAGATATCATCACAGAACACATCAACTCCAGCATCATTTGTAACTAAGGAAACCATACACATCTTTCAACTCAAATGCACCCTAACAAACTGAACTCAGCCAACTCTTATCTATGTCTCTGATCCCATCTACATGTCCAAAAGTACATCATGTCTTAGAGATTTTGTTCTCCTCTCATTACTACCCGTATTAAGGTAAATTTTACCTCTTTGATTCAATTCAGCCTACTGTGAAGCATCAATATTCAATTCCTTACTCCATTTAAGTTTCATACTGTATTAACCTCAGCATTATAGCAAACCTTACTTTAGTAATTAGCAAAAGTAAGTAAGACTTTTATAATATGGTCATGAATATGTACAGACACATAAGCTTGTTAAAGAAAGCACTTATAACCCTTCTTAAATGCCTTCTAGTAATCCTGCTTCAAAACTGCTTTAAGAGATCATCTAGTAGAGTAACAAAATTTTTAGCTTAAGATATTCAAGAATATAAAATTAGCAAAACCAAGTATTACATATTCTCAGGAAGAAGCATGAATAAAATATTTCACCAAACAACCCCCAACCCTATCATCATCAGTTTTTTCTTGTTCTACCCTGGCAGTCCTTACAAGACTTTATCACAGCTAGCGAGCCAGTGGCCAGGACACTCAAATGAGAAACTTTAAGTATCTCCTGAATTAGAAGTACTTGAAATGTCACCCAAGCATCTATATTCTTTGAAGGTTGTCAGCTACTTGGTTAAGGTGAGAGACATACCGCAGGCACCTCAATTCTTGGAGTATGCAAGTACCTACTAAATCAGCACCTGCTCTGTTGCTAAATAGATACCGGTAGCTAGCTATTTACATAATCTCTCCTAAGCTAAGTTGAAAAGGAAGATTATATGAATAAACATAATATTTTAAATGGATCAGTAAGTAAAATATCTTGAAAGATATTTTATATTAAAAAGTAAATCGATACTGGTTTAAAAAAAAAAAACCTCTCCCAATCAATGTTGGTCATTATTTAATAATATTCCATTTGACAAACCTCTCTCTCTGTTGTCACGACGGTCTCTCTCTCCATGTCTTCTCTCAAAAGAAGAATCTCTTGCTTGATCTCTGTTGTCTCTTTCAGGATATCTGTCTCTTTCAGGATAGCTACTTCGAGTTTCCCAGCTGTCATGATAGTTGCCACTACTACCGTGACTATCAATTTGAGAACCTCTTGTGCCTCGACTTCCTAAACAAAGGATATTCACACAAATATTTAACACATACACTTTATTCAACAAGTTTTGTCAGTTACAATCTTTCCTCCTAAAAAATATATAAAGATGTGCGGGGTTTCTTTGGTTTTGGGTTTTTGTTTTGGTTTTTTTGGTATTTGAAAGTGCAGTAATCACTGTTGAAAAGAGTAAGTACTGGATCCAAATACCCAGTATTTGATGACTGACTCAGGTAAGTAAGCTAAGTCCCAGTTTCCCTATCTATAAAAAAGGACATATAATGGGATCATAAAGCAAACAGACTCATTTTAATTAATACAAAAAACAAAAAAACCAAAAAAATTAAAACTATTGATTCTTATCTAAATCAAAGAAATATAAAAATAATATAACATATGTATATGGATATATTGCATTGACTTTAGTCTATAGTAAAAACATTCCAAAACTGGACTAAGGTACTGTGTTTACATGAGGTGATACCTAAAAATTTTCATTAGAAAATTGGGAAATGAATGTTTATAGTAGCTTTATTTGTTATAGCTGAAAACTGGAAAATGCCCAAATGTTTTTCAGTAGGTGAATGGCTAAACAGTATATCTAGCCCACAGAACAGCACAAGGAACAAAGTACTGAGATGCGACAACTTGGATGAATCTCAAGGAAATTATGCTGAGTGAATCTCAACAGGATACATATAGCAGGATTCCATTTATGTAACATTTATGAGATAACAATTATAAGATGAAGGACATATTAGTGGTCACCAGGGATCAAGAATGGGGAGAGGATTTAGAGGGGGAAAAAAATGGGGAGAGGATTTAGGAGTGGCCATAACTTTAGGGTAACACAGGGAATCCTGTGATGGTAGAACTGAGTATCCTGATTGTGGTGATGGTAACACAAGACTACACAGCCGCTATGGAAAACAGCACGGAGGTTCCTCAAAAAATTAAAATTAGAACTACTGTATGATCCAGCAATCTTACTTCTGGGTATATAGCCAGAGGAATTGAAATCAAGATCTGAAAGAGATATCTGCACTCCTATGTTCACTGCAGCATTATTCATAATAGCTAAGACACAGAAGCAACATACTGCCCAATGAAAGATGAGTGGGGGAAAAGCGTGATTAAAAAATGTGTGTGTGTGTGTGTGTGTGTATAATGGATTATTCAGCCTTTAAAAAGAAGGGAATCCTGCCATTTTCAACAACATGTGTGAAACTGGAAGACATTATGCTAAATGAATGAGAAAAGTCAGACACAGAAGACAAATACTACAGGATACCACTTACACATGGAATCTAAAATAGTCAAACTTATAGAAGCAGAGAGTAGAATGGTGTTGCCAAGGGGTCAAGGAAAGAGGGAAACAGGGAGGTGTTAGTCAAAGAGTACACAGTTTCAGTTGTACAAGATGAGTTCAGTCCTAGAGATCTACTGTACAACACAGTGTCTATAGTTAATAATACTGTATTGGAAACTAAAAAATTTGGTAAGAGGGTAGATCTTATGTTAAAAGCATTCTTATCACATACACACAGATAAATAATAAAGAGAGCGAGAGGAAACTTTTGCATGTTAATGGCATAGACTGTGGTGGTAGTTTCAAGGGTGTATACTAATCTCTAAACTCAAGTTAAATACATCAACTGTGTGCAGTTTTGTGTGTCAACCATACCTCAATAAAGTGGTTTAAAAAGTGCACAGAGCTACACACATACGTATACACATAAATGTGCCTTACACATACTAGACTAAGCCCTGAAAGAATTATAGCATAATTCTAAACTTTAACAGGGGCATTTTAATAATCAAAATGCCTGTAAAGAATTATTTTAATAATTAAAGATCAAAAAGAAGAAATTTAAAACTCTTTTAAAAAGACCACAAATGGGTAACATATTACATCTAGGAATGAAAAGTGTAAATGTCAGAATAGATGCTGCCAAGAGAAAATTAGTAAACAATTACATCTAAGGCTACAACTCAGGAAATGAAAGAGATGAAGAGAGGAAAACCTGAAAGGAAAGTTAAAAATCAAGGAAGATTCAATGAGAAGATTCAACATATGTCTACATATGTCTAACTATATGCTCTTTAGAGTCACATTTAAAACAAAAAGATGTAGAAAGGTTGAAAGGATGGAAAAAGATACATCGTACAATACTAACCAAAAGAAAATCTGTGAGTGGGATCATTTTTTTAGTCAAAAAGACACCATTTGGAGGTAAGGAGGCTCATTCTGTAATGACAAAAGGAGTAATTTGTCTTATATGTATCTACTAGAAGAACCTCAAAATATTCAAAGCAAAAATTTAATCAAATTACACAAAATCAATAAATTCAAGATGACAGTGGAAGATTTAACTCGCATCTCTATTATGATAGAAAAAGCAGACCAGAAAAAAGATTAAATGTAGATTTGAAAGCATGGCTAACAGACTTGACCTTAGACATACTATATACATGTTGCAACCATAAAAAACATAGGCAGAACACATGAAAACTGATTGATGAACCACAAAATAAGTCTTAACAAATACAAATGCCAAAAAACTGACCTTAGTCTTCTCTGACAACAATTAAAATTGGGGGAGGGGAATTATTTTAAAAAGCATGATTGGAAAATTAAAATCCTATTTCTATACAACTCATGAATCAAAGAAGAAATCATATTAAAATTCAAAAAGTGTTTAGAACAGACAAATATTATCAAATTGTCAAAGAACAGATAACTAATCATATATACATAAATTGTTCCAGAGAAGAGGAAAAAAGAAGCAACACTTTCAACACATTTTATATGGCTAGTATAACTTAGGTCCCCAAACCAAACAAAGACAATATAAAACAACAAAAGCTATACAGTGGTATGCTGGACTGACTCACACTGGCTCCAAAGAGCCAACTGTGCCCATCTCTCCCATCTCCACACTGAGTAACATCACGATGTTTAGTAGCTCAAAATCTGTTATGGCAGGAGGAATTTATACCATGGAAATTGGTATTAGCTACAAGCCAGGGCTTTTTTTTTTTTTTTAACCCTCTGAAGAGGTAGTTGTTAAATATTTACCATCATACCACTGATTATATGCCAATTGCACTTAAAAACAAATGCTTAATTCAAAATTAAATTTTAACAAATCTATTCTAGAACTTAAAAGGTGCATTTATCTTAGAAATGCAAGGATAGTTCTAAATTTTAAAAAGTATTTTAACTTAAGTAGCAAAGTAAAAGAGACTGACTAGATGACTATATGATCTTCTCAAGATACAGACAAACAGCATGATAGAAGCTGTCAGCTAAGTTCGGAAAATTAAAAGACATAATAAAACATAATAAAAAGCATCTGCTAAAAATCTACAAACACCATATTCAATGGTGAAATGCCAGCAATAACTCTTTAAAATCTGAAACAAAACAAAGAAGCCCATTACATCACTTATAGTCAACAGGATATTGAAGAGATGCTCAACAGACTATTGACCAGAAAATAAATTATATTCAGAAAGGAAGAGCCAAATCTGTTTCCAGACGTAAATGTTTGAAAGCATCTAATTAGATTTACTAAGAAAATACAGCAACAGCACAGTGTAAGATTAATATAAAAATATCAACTACCATTTCCATACACCAGCACTAGCATCAGAAAATAAAAGGTTTTAAACTATATCATGTAGTGCACCAGCACTAGCATCAGAAAATAAAAGGTTTTAAACTATATCATGTAGTGCACC